CTCCTTCACAACAGAAGCAGTCAAGGACAACCGTGTGTCTGTTACGTCTACTTCAGCATGGGCAGCAAGAAGCAAAGCAGATGGGCATTGCGGGGGTGGGGGGGAGATGTGCTCTGCCTGGAGAGAGCATGTCACCCCATTAAACTAGGGGCGGCATCCAGCAGCATGAGACTTGCTTGCCATCTGCATTGCTTTGAGGTTGCCATTTCTTTGCAGTTAGAAGATGAGCAAAATGCATTTTTGCATGAACAGGAAAAGTCCTTTGGGTTGGACTTTTGGGTAGGAAATTGCTGGTCACTGGGCAGCATCTATCAGAACCTGATTTATTCTGCTTGAGACCCTGCTTAGCTTCAGAACCTGGAATGTGTGAAGCAACATAAGAGAAGAGGAAGCATGTGCAGAGTGCTTTTCCTAATACTGATTAAAGAACCAGATGCCACCTGTCTAGAATTGGGGAGAAGGGTAGCACAGGAAAAAATGTGTAATGATCATGTGACCTGTCTGTTTAGGAACTAAACTTGAGACAGAATATTTGGGGAACTGCATTCATAGGCCTCACTGTGGAACTGAAACAGTCACATGCAGAATGGAGACTGTATCTGAGGCAACTTCTTCAAGCAAGTTCTAGTTGCATGAAGCTCTCCATGTGTTACATCCTCACAGACAGATAAAATCAGTTAGCAGAGACATCCAACTCATCCCAATTTGTGCCAACACCCCCTAATTCTAACTTGTGGTTATAGAAGTATGGTTCATTTGCATACTATATTATGCAAAATTATATGACACAACTTCACTATTCTGATTGCAAAATATATCCCAGTTATTTTCAGTGAATCTATGATGACTAGAAACTTGCTAGAGAATGTGATTTGTTTAGATTTCAGGACCCAAAACTCTTCTGTTAAAATTTTGGATTCCATTGTGGTGTGATGGGCATGGGATGCAAACAGACCTGCACCTTATTTAATGCACATCCAATTTCAGCAGTTTTGAAAATGACTTGAATGTCATGAATTCTTTCTCCATCCCCATCCCCCAAATCAAGAGGGTGCTAAGAACACTTTGCCAGTGATCCTTATGGAAATACTGTGTTGTAGGCTTGGGAGCCCTTAACAAGTCACACTGCTCTCAGGTTTGCTGTGTAACCATGCCTGGGGGGGGGGGGGAGTCCATGGCTTGCTGGCAGAGCACCTCCATTGTGTGAAGAAGGTCCAAGGTTTAATCCCCTGCCAGAAACTCTGGAGAGCCACTGCCAGTCAGTGTAGACTACACTGAACTAGATGGGCCAATGAGTTTAGGTCAGTAGGGCAGGCAGCTTTCTATGTAGAGCATGAGACTCTTTATCTCAAGGCTGCAGGTTCAGGCCACACCTTGGGCAAAAAGATTATTGCATTGCAGGGAACTAGATGACCCTCACAGCCCCTTCCAACTCTACAGTTCTATGATTCTATTATTCCTGTGCCTGTTCACTGCTATATCAGCTCCCAGAATCCAATTGATCCAGATATCCATGATCCCCTGAGTTAGATGCTTTCATCCACCAAAGATCACACAGCCATGACAATGCCTTCCAAGCTTCAGGATCATTGCAGGATAAAAGGAAGAGCACACACTATGGGCCAGCTTGCAGCCCTGCCTAAAGTACCAGGTAACAAGGGTGCTCCTGGGCAGAGACAGACTCCTGATGTACTCTGTGCCAAGACAGGGAACTTCTGTATCCTGACAGCAGTTCAGTTTTAACGTCCCAGTGCAAGGGACTCTGACAGCAGATCTCTCTTATCTGCCCCACCAGGACAGCTTGCAAGAAGAGGGAATGGCTGAGCACTACCTGTATAGTGGCAGGAAGGAAGACTGCAGCTGATCAGCCCCAAGCAATCAGGTGGCCCAAGACACCAACAGGGGCTCTGTTGCAAGAACATTCATAGGCAGGGGCTGCTGCCAGGTAAAGTAAATGAAGCAGTGGGCCCTCTATGTTTCTTTGATTGCAGAAGGCTCACTGCTGGCCAAGGCTCACTGCAGCCACTCATCGTCTTCTTTCCCCCATAATGCATCTGGGCCCTGAGACAGAATGGCCCAGATGGCATCCTGCAGAAATGCAGCTGGTGGGTGTCTGAAGCCTCAGCCAGGGCTTTACTTTGCTTCTGTGTGCCCAATGCATAGAAAAAGGAGGAAAAATGAGAAAGTGATGTCAGTGACTGTCAGTAGCTCCAGTAGGCTCTGACAGGCCTGGTAACTAAAGAAGCCACAAAGGCTCTGGGGCCTTGCGGAAACCAAAGGCTATGTGCCTGTCTGGCGCTGCATCACCTGCCTCTGTGCCTCTGAGAGTGGCCTGCCTACTATGGAGCATAGGCAGTATGGGGGTGGCGACAGGGGGCAGGCACTCCCCCAATAAGGAGCTTATACTGCATTTCTGAAATCCTCTCATTAACATATGGTATCTCACCCACCTAGAAATATACTTTCCCCCTTCCATACTGCCACCCCCTGAATTCTTTTTCAAGTGCCACAGCTGCTCTGGAAGTCAACCATCAGCTTTGCTCACCTGCCCCTGGTTCTTCAGAGTCTCAGGTGCCACTTTTGGACTTGACCTCTGCCTGCCATGGGCAATGCAAGCTGCTTGCCTTGCTGGGCTCTGACACCAGAAATTGGGATGGTGTTTTACCCCACAAACAGATCCATTCATTGAGGTCAGATTCCATAACAACTCTGGCAGCAGAGAGCAGGAGAGGCTCTGCAGTAATACACCACCTGCCTTAGCAGAACGTACACAGCCAAAATGAGAGACGGAGCATTAACTTGTGGAATATCACTGTTGTTTACAACTTTTCCAGGGTTTCATTTTCCTTATCAACAAAGCTGGGAGCAAACCTTGGCAAAAATTTAGTAGGGCCACTGTGGCTCAGGGACCAGATCTGTATTGTGGGCTACCAAGTGACCATCCCTGCTCTACAGTGTCTTCTCAAACCTTCACACTACCTGACCATCCCTCTGGTCCCGGGGTCACATATAAAGGCACAGGAGGCTCCCACCTTGCTGAAGCTAAGCAGGTCTAGGGCTGGTCAGCGCTTGAATGCACGACTGCCTGGGAAACGTCTCTTCCTTGGATTCATTATGGAAGAAAGGTGGGATACAAATGTCAGTGTGTGTGTGCCTGCACACACAAAACTTCCTATAATAAGGCAAGCCATTTCTAGGCTCAGTACAAGGTGCTGATTTTAACCCATATGGTCCTATGGAACTTGGGGTCAGGTTACCTCAAAGGCCACCCTATCCCTTACAAACTTACACTGAGATCTTCTTCAAAGGATCTCCTTCAGGTTTCTGCACCTACAGGGGCAAGGTACATGGTCAGCCTGAGAGGGCCTTCTTGTCACCTTTGGGTCCCTGGGTCTGGGATGTACTGTCTCCAGGAAGACTTGCCAAGCACTGAACTGGATGGCATTTGGAGAAAGACCATTAAAAAAAATAGCACTTTAAACCATTTTAATCTGGTTCCTAGTTGCTGCTGCTAAGTATTGTTGTTACAGTACTGTGTTTTTGTTTCATTTTTCAAAAATGTTATCCACGGAGAGGTTTTTTACCTGGAGAAGAGTAACAGAAATACATCCACTAAACAAAGTACGGTAACAAGAGCCCCAAATGTTCAAAGCTGGAAATTTTCTTGGTCTGTTATTTGACAAGCTCCCTTTTCTGAGGTGTCACAATTTGTAGTCCTCCAGAAATAATGGAGTTAGCAGAAAACTTGACCTTGTGGTCTACAGCGCATCATCACATGAGCTATCAGCATCCACAGGACAGCTCAGGTCTTTCCAACAACATTTCCCAGTCTATGCATCTGTTAGTGAGGCTGCTGCTGAGCACCCTTCTGAGGCCCTGATGTTCTCCCATTGGAGAATTTCTTAAAGCCAGAGGCAAGCTATGAAATTACAAGTCAAATACCTGTTCTTTTCACAAGACCTATTAAACTGTGCTTGTTTAATGGTCTGCTCCTCTCTCCTAGAAAGTAACTTAGCCTTAGAGAAGAGCAACTCTGAGAAGCCTGATGGGTTCTCTCACAAGTTCAGTCTTCACAGCCAATATTCCATACGCATAGCTCTTCTATCTGTGGGTTGAGGATCCAGCTGATTGTTTTTGGTGGCCAGATTTGGCTGATCCGCTATTACCTTGTCTACTATGGTATCTGGACACTAACCTATCAAGGATGCTTTACAGGAGGGCAATTTTGAATAGAAGCAGCTATTATGTGGAATTCTCCATCTTGTCTCTCCGCACATTTCAGGGCCCTCCCTAGTCCTGCATAGGTCTCTCCCCCTGCCCCCACAAATAAGAAGACTCGCAAACTAAGGCTCTGTAGAACCAAACATGGGACAGAACAAGGCCCATGTAGTTCAGGAATCAAATTCTAAGAGTAACAAGCCACATGCCTGGTGCCGCATGAGCTGGTTCCATATGATCATCACAAATCATTTGAATTATAAGAAAGGGAAGTCACTTCGGCTACCTACTGGCTCCTTTTTCTCAAGCACAGTTGGACAAAGGAATAGGAGGCTGGAGGTCAAGTCTATGATTCCATCTCACTGCAACAAGTAGGGGCTCCTTGAGACTCTGAGCATGACTAACAGCTAGTAAAAACTACACTGCCCTGCCCTGCACTGATCCCTCTTTTTAAAGGAAATATCTTAACAGAACTCTCAGTGGTGCTTTCTTCACCTTTCCTTAATCATGTAACAATGAGTTCCACATGTTAAGCACACATCCCCCCTTTCCTTTGTTGATCCTCCTCAACTCTTCTGTCATTGGATGGTGAAGCCATTTATGAAGGGATGTTCAAACGTTGCATGAGAATACAACAGGTCTGGGAAGTTGAGGAGAATTTCTTTTCCTTAAGGAATGGAGCACACAAACCCAGAGAACGGCGGAGGGGTGTGTGGAGGGAAGAATGCCTACTACCAGTACCCATTCTTAATACCCCACCAAGGAACTGCTTCCCCGCTTACCTGCATCCGCCAGACAGAAGCCGGCACAGCTGAAATAAACCAGGAGGGCTGCATTGATGTAGAGAAGCAGTTGATCCATCCTCCAGAGCGGGTCCATCCTGCATCCACATGGGAATGGCTGTTTCAGCCCCAGAGGTCCCAATCCAACATGGGGAGGGAGGCAGGCAGGCAGAGAGCGAGAGAGAGAGAAAGAGGGTGCCCCTTCGGCTCCCCTTGGCGGCCGCCTCCGATCAGAGGGACGCCGAGGAGCCCCGCCAGGCTCCCGGACCCGGCGCGGACATTTCAGCACCACGGACAGCTCCGCGCCACCGCCGCTGCCGCCGCTTCCCGGTCCATGGCTGGCTTCTCCCGGCGGCAGCAGAAGGGCAGCGCCGACTTGGGGCTCCCGAGGCCGGGCTGGTCTCTCTTCCTGGGCCCGGAGAAAGTTTCTGGGAGGCGGCGTGAGGCAGCTCGGCTCCGCGGAGGAGAAGCCAGAGAGACGCGGCCGAGCAGCTCCTGTTCCCGCTCCTGATGGTGCTGCTGGTGGCGGCGGCGATGGCTGGAGGAGCCGCTGGGTCCCTGCAAAGTGCAAACGTGCCGCCAGTGGGCCGCCTCCTCCACCATCAGCCAGGCAGCTCCATCCAGGGGAGGCAGCGAGAGAAAGGATGGAGGCGCCCCCGACGCTCCCCCTGCCCTAACGACAGCCACGGGCGAATCCGGACTCGCCTGCCAGCGTCCCCGGCCCAAAGCACGCCGCCCTCCCCGGGCTGGGCGATTTGTGCTCCGAGATCCTACCAGGCGGGAAGCGGGGGGGTCTTCAGTCCCTCCTCCTCCTCCTCTTCCTCCTCCTCCTTCTCCCCTCCCTCATTAACCTTAATGGGAGAGCGACACTGTTTGAAGGGGAAACGGATCTCGCAGGTCACCACGTCTACACACACCAATTTTTTAAAAAGAGGGAGGGAGAGAAAGATCATTTATTTAAACCTTCCCCGCTGGAAGAGGTTCCGCTGCGTGTGTCTCGCTTGACTGGAGGGAGACAGAGGCAGGGAGGTGAGGAAGGAAGGAAGGAAGGAAGGAAGGAAGGAAGGAAGGAAGGAAGGAAGGAAGGAGATTGATGGCTGGGGGGAAAGTGTCAACTCCCAATTCCCTTTCCCAGTTGGAAGGATGTCCTCTAGCACCCTTGGGGAAGAACTGGACCTGCAAAGGGGTTGGGGGTGAATGTGGGGCATCCTAGCCAGAATCCATAAAACATCAGGGGAGACTGTATTATATAACAACAGAACAGCAGAAAGTGGGCCACAGACTGGGGTGGCTTGGTGGGGGTCCCCTTTCCCTTGAGGCTTCTCCAAACTTGAAGCTTATTAGGAAGAAAGGAGGATGAGAGGGAAGCACCCAACAGGAAGACATGAGGGGGTTTGTGAAGGGATAAGGCATGAAAGGCTCCCTAGGGGAGACACCCATGGCCTTAAATGGTCTAATAGCACAGGTTAATTGGGGCCATTCAAGGCCATCACATTGGCAGGAGACTTCTGAAAAAAGACCCAGACCTGGAGAGTCTTACAGTCCTGCCAAGTTATCAGTCAAATTCCCCAGCATAATGTGAGTTCAGTGTGGAGGATGGTACAGACACTCTGGAACACAAAAATGCCTTTGCTTCCAAAACTGCAAAGGATAGTTCACCTGACAATAGGTAGAGGGGAGGCTGTGTCACTGTAAAAAGAATGGCTGTGGGGTGGCGGCGGCTGCAAGATAAAAGCAATGAGATCAATCCAGGAAGGATGAGACTCTCAATGACTACTAGTCCTGATGGCCATGCGCAACCTCTACCTGTTGAGAGGGCTGCTATTGCACTCAGGTCCTGTTTCCAGGCTTTCAGAAGCACCTAGTTGGCTACTGCTGGAACAGGGTGCTGGACAGGGTGAGTCTCCTCTGGACTGATCCAGCAGGGCTTGCCTTATGCTCTTATATGTTAATTATCCCACAGGTCCTTTATTCAGTCAGTTAACCACTTTTAAATTTATATCCCACCTTTTCTCCAAGAGCTCAGGGTAGCAGGGACATTTCTCCCTTACTGTGTCCATTTTATCCGGTCTTCATGTCAAGCAATAGCTTCAGGTGACTAGACAGGTGAGCTGAGCAATACCCAACAGGCAAAAGCACACTCTTTGGTCACATCATAATCTGATCTGGGGATATTCCTTCCCCAGCCTGGCAGGGCTACTGGCCTGGAGACAGAGCTGTGTCCAAGGCTGGCTGAGGTGATGGAAGGCATAGTGTGGAGAAGTTGGATAGGGAGAAGTCCCCAGCACCATAAGAGTAGTTTTCAGGGCCAGTCAATGAAGCTGAATGCCTCAAGATTCTAGGCAGGCAAAGGAAAGGTCCCCTTCTTACAGCACAGAATCAGAAGAATTTTTATTTGCATCAGCCACTAGCCATAGCAATAAAATAAAATGTACTGAAGACAGAGGGAAAAACTTAACTATAGAAAATACATTTGGGTGGTTTACGTTAATAATAAAATAATAGATCTTATTCTCATTGCCCCCACTAAAAGCCTTGCAGTTTTTGCTGTCATCTGATGATCTTGATCTGCTAGAAGAAAGGAGACAGTAGCAATGGTTGAGCGACCCGGCATGGACAATAATAGAGGGGTGATAACCTCACTCCTCAAATCTTTATAAAGAGTGCAAGCCAGAAGCATATGAGCCACTGACTCGATACTGCCATCTCCACAGGGAAATAACCATTTTTCCAGTGAAATTTTTTGAAATTGACCCTCAAGTACAGCCGAAGGCAGTATATTCAATGTTGTGAAAGTGAAAGCATGTCTATATTTTGGAATTGTTAAATTTTGCAAATAGTGTCAAAATGACTAGGTGAAAAATAATCATACCACGGACAAAATTTGCTTCTTGTGGCCAGATTATTCTGTCTCTCGATATCATATAGGCGCTGTCTAATTAAACTATTTGCTTTACTGAAGCCCAGTGTTAATAACTGCTGATAAACCAGAAAAGTAATGCTTTTGGTTGACAATTTTAGTCCAAGCACTCTCATGACAATCTTATGATACTAGTGGTACTAGACCAGTGGGGTTTACATTTAGGCAGGGCCAATAATTAAATGTCCTACGCCAAACCTGTAATTCAAGAGAGAGGAGGTTAGCCTCTAAGTGCAATGAAGCATTTGGAACACAGGATGGAACAGGAAAAAAATTGCCTTAGGAACTTAGATTGAACAGCTTCTGTAGATCCAAGGTGAGGGCCTGTCCAAATCTGAGCCCCATATAATAACTGTGCTAGGGGTTTAGATTTAAACACTTCAAGGGCTGATGGTATGTGATTGCCACCTTTTGTAGGGAAAAAGCGTGTCAGAATTTTGGCACTTTGGGACTCTTTTGCTTTGCATATTTCTGGTGTGCTCCCCATAATCCTGTTGACTGGAAAACAAGGCTGAGGTATTTAAAGACTTTAACTTGTTCTATCAACTGATCGTCCCACAAGTGGTAGTGATAGATACCAACTTGGATGGCTTTTTAAAAGGATTAGACAAATTGATGGAGCATAAGGCAATGGTGGCCATGTTCTGCCTCCCGGGTCAAAGATGGTATATGAGAACAGGGTGCTATTCTCATATACCATCTGCATGGGCCTTTGATCGGACCCAGCAGCCAGGCTCTTATTATGTTCCTAAGGCAGGCAGAAGGAATGGGTAGAAGCTGGCTGATCACTTCCACTATATATATATATATATATATATATATATATATATATATATATGTTTTCGTAGATTTTCACGGGTACAGGAATGCAGGTTTTGGTGTCCTCGGGTGTCTTCCCGTGTAAAAGTTGGGGTGTCTAGGCGACGTTTCGACGAGGTCTCACTCGTCATCTTCAGGCTGGTGCTTTCGGCTTCTTGTTACTGGAACAGAGCTCTGTTCCAGTAACAAGAAGCCGAAAGCACCAGCCTGAAGATGACGAGTGAGACCTCGTCGAAACGTCGCCTAGACACCCCAACTTTTACACGGGAAGACACCCGAGGACACCAAAACCTGCATATATATATATATATATATATATATATATATATATATATATTAAGATATTAAGGTTTTTTAAAGAGTTATATAAAATAGAAAAAACAGAAAAAACAAAAATACATACATACAAAATACACACTACAACAAGTATAATTTCAACCCCTTATATTCATAAAACCTATTTTCCCGACCTCCTCATACCTCCCCTTTCTGTATTCTAATCTCTAATTAATTCAAATCAGCAAATCCCTCCCCTATTTTCTGTTTAATTTTTAACCCTTCTTTTCTTATTTACCTAATCATTACAGCTGAAAACCACTAAATTTCTAAATCAACATCGTTCTAACATTCCATAATTTTGCAGTATTTCTTAAGATAGTCCTTAAATTTCTTCCAATCTTCTTCCGCCGTCTCTTTTCCCTGGTCTCGGATTCTGCCGGTCATTTCTGCTAGTCCCATATAGTCTATAACCTTCATCTGCCATTCTTCCACGGTGGGTAGATCTTTTGTCTTCCAATACTTCGTGATGAGTATTCTTGCTGCTGTTGTGGCATACATAAAAAAAATTCTGTCTTTCTTTGGCACCAACTGGCTGACCATGCCCAGGAGAAAGGCCTCTGGTTTCTTCAGAAAGGTATATTTAAATACCTTTTTCATTTCATTATAAATCATCTCCCAGAAAGCCTTAATCCTTGGGCACGTCCACCAAAGGTGAAAGAATGTACCCTCAGTCTCTTTACATTTCCAACACTTATTATCAGGCAAGTGGTAAATTTTTGCAAGCTTAACTGGAGTCATGTACCACCTATAAATCATTTCCATAATATTTTCTTTTAAGGCATTACATGCCGTAAATTTAATACCGGTGGTCCACAACCATTCCCAGTCCTCAAACATAATGTTATGACCAATATCTTGTGCCCACTTGATCATAGCTGATTTAACTAATTCATCCTGTGTATTCCATTCCAGCAGCAAGTTATACATTTTAGACAAGTTCTTAGTTTTGGATTCTAACAATTCTGTCTCCAATTTTGATTTTTCCACCTGGAAACCAATTTTCCTGTCTAACTTAAAAGTTTCCATTACTTGATAATAGTGAAGCCAATCTCGGACTTTATCTTTCAATTTCTCATAACTCACTTCCACTATAGAGACAAATTGCTCTGACTGAAGAATTAAGCCAGAGTCACATATTTTGCCTAACTTTATACAGTTAGATGAAATTCTATTGGCCCTTGATGTCACCTGACAGCTGTTGAATGAGTAAACTGGTCAGCTGCAGCAGTGGTGCCCAAGTGGAGGAGAAAGCAAGTTGCCTCTGGGTCAGGAACCCATGGTCAAATCTGCTGGGGCCATCGGGGGGGGGGAGGGCTCAACATATGATGTGGAAACCATGAGATGTTTGTTCAGTTGTACCTTGGGTTAAGAACTTAATTCATTCCAGAGGTCCTTTCTTAACCTGAAACTGTTCTTAACCTGAGGTACCACTTTAGCTAATGGGGCCTCCCGCTGCTGCCGCGCCGCCAACGTGTGATTTCCATTCTCATCCTGAGGTAAGGTTCTCAACCCGAGGTACTACTTCCAGGTTAGTGGAGTCTGTAACCTGAAGTGTCTGTAACCCAAGGTGTCTGTAACCCGAGGTACCACTGTATTGGTGAAAGGCAGTCCGTCCGCCCCCCCTCGGCGGGGGGAGGAGGTGGCGGGTGTGTGAGCCCACAATGAAAGCAGACAAAACCCTCTCCCCAATTGCAGGGCACAACAATGGAGGTGCCAAAATGATGATAAGAAAACAACACGTGAAAAAATGTTGCAGCTTTTGGGCCCTTATAGTTAAGAGAAAATGTGAGTAAGAGGCAACATGATAGACTTTATAAAATTATGCATGGCAAAAAAGGGGGTGGTGGAGAAAGTTTTCCTCCTCTCAGAACACTAGAATTTGTGCACATCCAGTGAAGCTGAATGTTGGAAGAATCAGGATTGATAAAAGAAAGGACTTCATGGTTA